TTTTCACCATGTATTTTTTCCTTTTTATCCAATTCAAATTTAACTCGTCTCAATTCTCCTTGATATTATCAATATAACAAATAATGCAAGTCAATAATTCTCAAACATCACATCGACTTTATTAGTATTCATTCACCCTCATAATTTTAGTTACTCATCATTTACAATTACGTCTCTCATACTTTTACATTAAATCAACTTTAATTATTTTATTTTAAATATAATTTTAAAACAAGCTCAAAATTTGTATCAAACCTAATACAAGAAACCTTTCAATTAAAAAAAGAATTCGATTGAAATCAAAATAATTTATATTCAACCATGCACACCCTAATGAGTAACTTTATGTTGGATTGTGTGACCACCACCAACCAAGAAGGTGAGTAAATTGATTATATTGAACATATGTTACTATAAGTCAAGTAAAAAGTAAATTTTTTTGACCAACAATATTAGCGTGATTTGACACAGTGTAGATGGAAAATTATGGCAACACTTGTATCCATTTGTCTTTGGCCTTGTTGACAGACGAGCCGATGCAACTACTCTCCATATACACAAGGCCAAGACCACCATAAATCATCATTCAAAGATATTCAGCCAAAAATATAATTGGAGGGAAAAAAAAAATATATATATATATATATGATCTGCAATTTAGATATTTCACCTAAAATAATTATGTAATTGCCATACTGTCAGATGCAGTTTTGGTTTGACATTTATGGTAGATTCTCCTCCTTAAAACAAACATAATATATATATATATATATATATATATATATATATATAATTCGGGCGGTTACTGGTTAGCTGGCTTCGGTCTGGAGTTATCTGTTACGTGTTTGTTGCTTCTGCCTTAGGGTGTGTGGTTGCCGATTAGCTGGTGGGGAGGGTTTATTCTAGTTTTTTTTCAGTGTTTTTTTTGTGGTTTGTTCATTGTGTAGTGTTTATTTTCCTATTGGGAGTTGTATTTTCCTGTTGGGAGTTTGTGGGTGAGTTGTGTGTGTTTCGATTCGGTGACCAGTTGGGTTGTTCTTCCAAGGATTTCAGCTGTGTAGCTGCTCTTTCCGGCTGTTACCGGTTGTATCCGATTATAATTATATGTTGTGTCTATTTATGATAATTTGTCGTTTGGAAAAAAAAAATGTACCAAAATCGTACAATAAACTGTTATCGACTGTTTCCGGTTGTTTTATGTAATTTTGCACAATTTAGATTTCATATAACATTTTCAACAAATTAATATAGGTAAATCGTATTACATATTAATTCCATATTGGCAAAATTGCGGCTAATATCATGACCTTTATCGAGATTGCAAATTAATCACAACCTTTTAACTTTTGCATAATATATCACGTCCTTCAATTCTTTGCAAAACGATACATGCGCTGTCCCACCTCGTCTGACGTGGCACTCAAAATGCCAACGCACCTGCTGATGTGTATTTAACAGATGTTTTTTTTGCATAATTAATCACAACCTTTTAACTTTTGCATAATATATCACGCCCTTAAATTTTTTTTGCAAAACGATACATGGTTTAACATATGGTTTTTTTTCATCTCATCCATAGACGAGATGAGGGAGAGATTTTGGAACCCTTGGGGATATATTAGGCTAGGGCTGGAGAGAAAACAGATTATTGAGACTTATTTTTTTCATCTCAAAACTCATTCTCTCAACAACTTTCACTTGGTTTTCTTTGGATTTTGCTTGGATTCGAGTTTTGGATATTGTGGCACTCCATAACGAACACGATTTGGTTTGTAATTCGATTTTATTCTCGACTTGGATTAATAATAATTTCTTTTCATTTGATTATGGAAGTGATTTATTATGTTGAATCTTTTGTTGGGATTGATATCAATATGTGTGGCTAAATCGCTTCGTTAGGGATAGGGGATATTTGTTTTGGTTCGATTGAGATTCGTGTGTACGTGTTTGTCATTCAATCTTTTCGAGTTGTGCTTAATTTAGGGTTAGATGTTTGATCATCATTTTAATCAAGTTAATCAATTTGTAGAACCGGAAGGGGAGAAATTGATTGATCTCGGCTCGTTTAGAATAGACTTGTTCGTTAATAGATTGTCTATATGTTATAATTGATCGTTACGAAAAGTTATTGAGAACAAGCCTCTAAACGAATATGTTATTTGAGCTCTTAACCGAGCGGTTGCGTGCTAATTGATTGCTTGAGAACCATAAACGAATATCTCTGACTCCCTAACTCACCAATCATTATTTGAACTCCATTTGGAATTTGAAGTGTGTCTTGCTTTATTTTTAGAATTTGTAGTTGATAATCAAAACAAAAAACAATTGAATTAGAGTATTTCGGATTTGTTTTCTCTTTTCGTGTGATTGAATACACGTGCAAAGTAATTCGACTAACCTTCCTTGAGAGACGACCTGGTGTTTGAATCTTTTCGTGTTCCAAAATCTCTAGCTCTAGCCTAATATATCCCCAAGGGTTCCAAAATTTCCCCCTCATCTCATCCAGGGATGAGATGGAAAAAACAAATCATCTGTTAAATACATATCATACGAGTTGGTGTAGCAGATGAAAACGTGTATCGTTTTGCAAAAAAATTTAAGGGTGTGATATATTATGCAAAATTTAAAAGGTTGTGATTAATTATGCAAAAAAAATCATCTGTTAAATACACATCAGCAGGTGCGTTGGCATTTTGAGTGCCACGTCAGACGAGTTGGGGCAGCGCATGTACCGTTTTGCAAAGAATTGAAGGACGTGATATATTATGTAAAAGTTAAAAGGTTGTGATTAATTTGCAATCTCGATAAAGGTCATGATATTAGCCGCAATTTTGCCTTCCATATTTCTAAATTATAAATATTATTTAATGAGGATTTGTAGTTTATGAATATCCTCCCTATATATAATTCCCGAATGCGCTGAGCCTACGTGGCTGCTTTTGGTGCTTCGGAATCCTACTTGGCAAAAAATCATGCTTCGTAACTAGGTTTGGACAAGTAATATTGATATATTAATAATTAATAATTTAAGTTTGGACATTCCATAAATATTATTTAGCTAACTTACATATTTTAACATCACTTGTACTACTATAACCCTTTATTTCTTTGTAATTTTACATAGTGAGACACTAAGTGACTAATATATCCCTGACTTTTGATTTGTTACCTTCAATTAGCTATTGAATTATAAATGTATTTTAAAAGTTGATAATTTTTGTATTTCTTATGGGTTTTACATATAAAATATATCAAATTAATCATCTTTTGATGATCTTCGATTTGACATCCATATTGTATATATGAAATAAATAAATTATATTTATCTTTATAATAATAAAAAATAATAATATTTATTAAAATTCATTAGAAAAATAAAATTATTTCTCAATTGATATATTTATGTTTAATGTAGTTATATGTTGTAAGTTTAAAAAATTATTATAATATAACACATGTAAGTTGCACAAATAAAAAGTGTCATACTAAATATATAATAATTATATCTTTATAAAAGATATTTAAATTTTCAACTACCTTTTCTCATTAATTTTAGATTTTAAGAAAAATTAGCAAGCACCCGTGTAATACACAGGCGTTGTACTAGTTAATGAATATTTCTTAACCCGTGCATCGCACGGGATTCTTATTACTCATATACATAAAGTAATCATTACGTCTAATTATTATAACTTAAAATTGATTGCCTTAACCAACAGGAGTTGGCTCAAGTGGTAAGCAGCTTGATGTCGCTTAAGCAAGGTCTCAGGTTCGAGTCTTTGTGGATGCAAAAAACCCTTGTTGGGAGACTCACTCACCATTACCAGGTGTGCGACCCGGGTTGACCAACGGATTAGTCGAGGCATAGTTCCAGATACTGTGGCTGGCTACCAAAAAAAAATTGATTGCCTTATATATTTATCTTATTAAAAAGTTGACAAATAGTAATATAATTATATATTTTTTTTACTTTTTTATATCCAATTAAAAAAAATAGATATGTTTATGTAACATATTAAGAGAAATGTTATGATCTCGTTACGGAATCATTTCGTCGATGTTTGTAAACGTTAAAATCATCTTGTAACCGTCGGAGATAGTTAATCTAACGGTTACAAACTCCGACGGAATGATTCCGTAACGAGACCGTAGCTTCTCCCCGATATTAATAGTTGGACCGTTATAATTATAGTTTCTGTACTTGTAATAATATTTAGAATACTAAAAAATTATTGAAGCTAACAAAATTCCTACTTATGTCAAATTAACATAAATTGCGATTAGGAGTTCTCTCCATTGCGTGTAAGTATCAAAATATTAATAATTTCTACATATGTCAAATTAACTTAAATTAAAATTAGGACTTCTTTCCAAATCACTTTTAAGAGATAAAAAGAAATTAATGTAAAGTGCTGATTTTTCATTATGCAAATGAAATCCTCACCCAACAATGGAAAAGAAAATCAAGAAAATGGAATTTCATTTACAGGGGCCCACAGGGACACGTGTCAGCAACCCTTTTCGTCACTCTCCGATTCTCCGTCTTCTTGAAATTCCGCAATTTCACAGCACTTTGTGTTCTTTAAAAAAGGTCCAATAAGAGACCACTTTTGTTCTCCGCCTTGTAAAAATTTCCTGGACCAGAAATAAAGATTGCTCAATGGAATAAAAAAACAAAAAAATTCATAAGAATGCTTTAAAATTCTTACAGCCATTTTCAATAATCACTCGATTTTCCTTAGATAATTGGTTTTTGGGGGTATGCAACCTGCAATCTGACCTATTTCAATTTTTGTGCGTGTGCGTGTGTGTGCGTGTGTTTGTGCGTGTGCGTGTGCGTGTGTGTGTGTGTGTGTGAGTGTGTGTATGTTGTGTGTGTGTGTGTGTGTGTGTGTGTAACGAGTGTCGGACTGATTTGTTCTGAAAATTATTGCAGGAATATGGAGTCGTTTGGTTTTCTGTGAGCAGCTTTTTGAAGAACATAACTGATAATCGTTGCCATGGCCGAGAAAGATGCTACCTTGCCGGAAAATGGGAGTATGCCGCTCTTCGTATTCTTTAAGGATATCAGGCAATGATTTTCTCTGTTCTTCTACATTTCAACAGTTGTTCGAATTATGAGAATTTTTTTTGTTTAGTTTCCTTCTTTCTGTTTCTTTGTTGAAAATTGAATTTGTTCTTTAATAATAGCATAAAACGAATAAAAAAAGAAGAAGAAAAAAGACAAAATTATAGTAAATATTGTTTTGATCTTGGTTTGAATTAGTTTCTTTGGGTTGAAAAGTGTTGTGAAGGTTTAGCAAATGAGTGAACACATCAGAGAGTGGTAATAGTTAGTTTTGGTGAATGCTTGTGAGCAGGTCAGTGTTTAATCTCGACGAGCTCGGCCTGGAAATAGCAAGGATTGCTCTGCCTGCAGCACTCGCTTTGACGGCTGATCCTATTGCATCTTTGGTAGACACTGCTTTTATCGGCCAAATCGGTATGAGCATTATTAAACTAAACAAAATCTGTAACTTTTTCTTGAATTTAGTGATTTAGTATAATTTCATTTTTTTAGTCAGTCGACCAATATTCGGCGCCCGTATCGTCAAATTCAATTCGAGTGCAAGAAAAGAGTAAATTGTTTAACTCAGACATTAATTGATTCTGAACAGGTCCAGTCGAACTAGCTGCAGTGGGAGTTTCGATTGCTTTATTCAATCAGGTCTCGAGAATTGCGATTTTCCCTCTCGTTAGCGTGACCACTTCTTTTGTGGCCGAGGAAGATACAATCACAAGAATGACTAATGACTCTAAAGATTGCGAAAGCTTGGAAAACATTTCGACTCTAGAAAGCGAGAATAAGACATTGATACCACAAAAGGGTATATACTATATATAATGCTGAATTCCTCGTTTTAGTCTCTTTATTGCTAATATATTCGATTTATTCTGTCTAATATATCGATTCATATGTAGAGTTGGAAAATAGTAGCTTCGAGATAGTTAAGACCGAGCCGGGCAAGAAGCAGATTGCATCGGCATCATCTGCATTAATCATCGGGGGCATTCTTGGCATAATCCAAGCCGCATTTCTGATTCTTGCAGCTAAACCTTTACTAAGTTTCATGGGAATCAAACCAGTAAGCAGAAAAATCAAAATCGAAAGGAGATCAAAAGACACATACTAATTTAGTATATGAGTTGAATATCACATAACATTTTGTGTGCTCGTGCAGCATTCGTCAATGGCAGACCCTGCACAACAATACTTGAAGTTGAGATCACTTGGGGCACCAGCAGTTCTTTTGTCATTGGCTATGCAAGGAGTTTTTCGTGGATTTAAGGACACTAAAACCCCGTTATACGCGACTGGTAAACTTTATTTTATTGACCGAAGTCAATATGCTGTGGTGTTCTATTTATGATTTTATTTTATCTATTTGTTTTTGTTGATGGGATGCTAATTTAGTGATTGGAGATTTGACCAACATAATTTTGGATCCAATATTTATCTTCGTATTCAAAATGGGAGTTCGAGGCGCAGCTGTTTCGCACGTTATCTCTCAGTAAGTTTTTGTACTCTACTTGCATTTAACCTTAATGTGCTCAGCTCTCTTGTACCATATCATAATCGAGCTGCTTTTTTTTTTCTTTTTTCAGGTACTTGATTTCACTAATACTCTTTTGGCGATTGAAGGAGCAAGTGGACCTTGTGCCTCCTAGTCTCAAATATTTGCAATTCGGCCGATTTCTTAAAAATGGTGACGTGTTTTTATGCTCTTGATTTTTTTAACCAGACATTGTAGGTAAATAAATACTTTCTTTATTTTGACTTGACATAACACTACCAAATATAGGCTTCTTGTTGCTCACGAGAGTGATAGCCGTGACATTTTGTGTGACCTTAGCCGCATCAATGGCTGCAAGGCTTGGACCAACACAAATGGCTGCATTTCAGGTCTGCTTGCAAGTATGGCTTGCAACTTCTCTTCTAGCCGATGGCTTGGCTGTTGCTGGACAGGTGAAAAAGCATATCTTAAGTTTTTTCAACTATCTTTTTAATTTTCTTTCTAATGTAAAAAGTCTCTTGGTAATAGTAATAATTCAAAGAATGAGAATAAGCATGCTTATATGCTCCTTCAGGCAATACTTGCAAGTGCATTTGCTCGAAAAGACTACAGCTGGGCAACTGCTACTGCTTCCAGAGTGTTACAGGTAATTTATTCAAGATTTCCGTTTTTGTTTTTTCTTTTTTTTTCGGGGAAGCTGCATATCACTTTTTTCTTAGATTTTACTATTATTACAATGCAGCTGGGGTTGGCTTTGGGGGTGTTTTTGGCTATCGTCCTCGGATTTGGACTACATTATGGAGCAAGAATATTTACGAGAGACAGTAATGTTCTTCGCCTTATTGGTGTTGGAATCCCGGTATCTTTTTTTTTTTTTTTTTTNNCTAATGTCTGCAAATTGCATTTGAAAGGTCATATTATTAAATTCAACTCGGAGAAAGCCATATTATTCGACAAATAATGTTTTCAACTTGTCATCCCAGTTTGTCACAGCAACTCAACCTATCAACGCATTAGCCTTCGTTTTTGATGGAGTCAATTTCGGAGCATCTGATTTTGCGTATTCAGCCTACTCAATGGTATGCCCCCCATTTACTTTCTTCATTTTCTCTCAATTATACTCTTAGCGCGAATAAATTTAAATCGACAATGAATATACATTTTCTACGCATCATTCTTGCAGGTTACAGTGGCTATTGTAAGCATCATTGTTTTGCTCATTCTTTCATCAAGCAACGGGTTTGTCGGAATCTGGATTGCGTTGACAATATATATGAGCTTAAGGGCATTCGCTGGATTTTGGAGGTCAGATTTCGTACAAAAAGAAAAAAAAAAAATCTAGTCGATTTTGATTTATATTGAAAATTTAGTATCCGATTCATACATACGTTTATTTGATTGCAGAATTGGGACTGGGACAGGGCCCTGGGAGTTTCTCAGGAGCTGATTTATATATAAATCATGCAATAATGCAGCTTTTTGGTGGGGGTTTAAGCCCTGAGGATGTGTTATAAGTGTTATATTTGTAAAGAAATAAGTTGTTAGTTTTGTTCTGTCACTGTATTGGGTTTATAGCATAAGATAAGATTTTGTCTATAGAATGGAGAAAATGAGGATGTAATATGGACATATATGTGCTGCAAGAAAAGTGGATGATTGTTTCCATCACCATAAAACCATTCACAAACATACTATTACCAGACTAGCAATTATGCGATTCTAAAATAACCGCGAAAATCGAACCCCTATATACACAAGTATTAACTAGATAAAAATAGTCGAACATATCAGATGAACACACGGAAAACTAATAAAAAATAGGCAAATATCACATACATCTTCCTCCAAGAGCCACCCAATTTGTAATGCCTTTCAACCAACCACTTCGGTGTTGGTATCGTCCGTGGGCCATATCACAGTCTCTTTGAGCCGTTCACGCATCAACTCAAGATTCTGGTCTGATATCCGCTCGTACATTTCCGTGTGATTGCATTTCTAGCAACCGAAAGAGCACAAGACAAATAATTGAAATAAATTTAATACGTATAAGGGCTATATAGTTTGGTTCATTTTCTCAAACCTTGATCCATTTTGCATAGAGGTGAAGCCGTGTTACCATCACTCTTTCCGCAAGTTCTTGCTTCTCCTATCGGCCGAAAGGAAGCGAAAGTTTGAAAAAAGAGAAAACGGATAGACTAATATAAGTGTAAGATTAATAATGTCTTGATCAATATGATTTTACCTTTACAAGGTTGCGGATAAAGCTCTTTCCATAACCATGTTCGTTCGATGCAACATAACTGTGAAAGCATTTAGCAAACCAAGAAACATATCAAAACAAAAGTTTAAAGATTTATAATCATGATATATGAGGATAGGAAATTCAAATTCCCAGTTTCGGCATAAAAGATCGAGCCAGAATTGTAAAAAGATTGTGGTTCTTACTTATAGAACCAGCGATACTGAGGAGGGTTCATTTCATAGAGCTGGTACAACACAGTCCTCACAGCTTTGTAAGTGAAATAATCCAGAATTTGCTGTCCAAAGATAAATGAATAAAACATAAATCTGTGATTGTCATCACTATAACACATTGAAGGAGATTCAGAATCTCACTTGCATATGAGACATAATCTCATACTGGATTTGAAAGTTCATCAGACAAAAGCTTTTTTATCTCTTAGATTTCATTAATCACATCAAACATAACTTAGGTTCAGACATATGATCCATGGCATAATTCACTAACATCAAGATTTGATTGATATTAAATGTATGAACAACATTCCAACTCAGATCTACCTTACTAGCATGTATTTGCATCAACAACATTCCAACTTAGATTTACGGTCCCCTTATGGAACCATCCCGTCGGGGTTTCTAACCGTTAGAAATGACCTAACGGGTTACAAATCTCGACGGAATGGTTCCGTAATTCACAAACTAAAAACAACTTACAAATCTTTCAAAAGATCATACCTTTTTCACATCTTCAAAATTGTCTTCATACTGCCCAGCAAGTTCATCTACCACCACAAGACTCTTATTTTTCCTCTGCTTCCTCGGAATCTTCGCACTCGAAAGAGTTCTAACCGACGAATAATCAAGAAACGAACTGCTCAGATCCAACGAACCCAAACGAGGCACATGCTTTCTACCAACTGTATGCCTCTGCGAGATCAGTAAATCTCCACCGTTCAAATTGCAAGACGGCAGAGCATCGAAACAGAGGCACGGACATGGCTTCGATTCAACCAAAGACGAACCCACTACAGACACAGCCCCAACCATCCTTTGAACAAACAGCAAAGGTTCACAATTTTTTAGCAAAATACTAAATGAAACTTTTTTTTTTTTGTGCAAGATTCGAACTTTAGTGTCAGCTGAAGATAAATACTTGGAGGGATCCAAGAAAATTGGAGAAATTTCAAAGGGGTTTGTGTACTTGGACGAAAAGGGTGTTCAAATTCGCAACGGATTGTGGAACGGAGGCGTGTGTTAATTGGCTGAATCTATTCAAAGTGAGGTTTGTAAGAACTGTGACCAGAATAATATTGAGGCCCAAATTATTTTCCACCGTTAGAAAATTATTTGAGAAAGCAAAGAAAGAGTGTCACAAACGACCACCTGGTTGGAAGCTGAGAGGGATATTTGGATGGTTCTTTCAAGTTGGCTGTGCTGTGGGCCCCTGTGTGTGAGAACAGAATCTCCGGGAACGATGAAAGCATTTATATAGACATGGGCAAGTTACACACGAGGTGTGGGGGCTGCTGTGTAGACGTGGCCAGGATCGGCCCAGTCCACCCAGAACCGGCCGGTATGTACGGAACCGGGAATCGAGAACCGGACCCGTGGTGTTATCGGTCTGGTTCTAGGTCTAGTTTTTTTTTTAAAAGTCGCCGTTTTCGGGCTGGTTCTGGGCCGGAAAATAGATTGGCATTGTTTTTTCTTATTATTAAATTAAATTGAATCGTCGGTTCGGGCCAGTTTAGTGAACCGACTCTTAAATATAGTCGGGCCGGTTCAGCGAACTGGCCCTTACATTTAGCCGGGCCTGCTTCGAGCCTAATTTTTTAGGCCCGGCGGGTTCTGGGTCTAGGTTTTTTTTTTGTTTTTTTAAACCCGCCATTTTTGGGCTAATTCTGGGTCGGAAGACGGATTTGCATTGTTTTTTTTTTAATTAAACCGCCGGTTCACTCTTGCATAGTCGGGTCGGTTCAGCGAACCGGCCCTTACATATAGTCGGGCCGATTCCGGGTCCAATTTTTAAGCGTCGGGCCAGGCTGAGTCGTGAATCGGGTCGCCAGTTGGCCACGCATACTATTAATGACCCACTCATAGCTTCAATAATGACCATTACATTAATTATAATTTCATGGGCAAGTTACACGCGGGTGTGGGTTGTTGTGCACGTGATCCACTAACAGCAGCCTCATTTGTTAATGACCATTAAGATTAATTATAATTATATAAATCTTCAATCGACTTAGAGTTACAGTCGTTTAACTCATTCACTCATTGAAAGACATAAAGTAAGAAAATCTAAAATTAAATAAACATGTTTATTTGAATAAAAAGTTAGCAATATCGACTAAGCATTAAACTTCATGGGGGATAAGCAACACAAAAATTTGGAGCTTCGATTACTACTAGATTTCTAAAGTACAAAAACGGTAAATAAAAGTCCGAGACATGCTAACGAGATATTTGGGGTTGATTTTAACTGAAATTACCTAGGGAATTTAAGAGCAATCAACTAAGGCGCAAGCTTTTAAAGAAAGATGTAAACTTTACTTGAATCAAAGTGTTCAAAACCAGCAAAAAGACATAAACTAAGCGAAATTAGCTAAGTCTAAAAAAACTAGCAATCGACCTTTTAAGAAAGTCTCGACTTTTACCTCGAAAGGTTAAAGGTTTAAAAACTCTAGGCAAGAAAAATAAGATAAAAGATGACATGAAAAGTTTAACTAAAATCGAGCTCAACACACAAATTCCGGCCAAGAAATTATTTTTACCTCTTAACACAAAGCAAGCAAAAATACATCAAAATTGAGATAATGAGTCCTTAACTAGGTACTTACTTTCCTAATGCGTTGTCAAGAGAAATAAACGCGAAAAGATCGTAACTTTAATAAGAAAAAGCATCGCCGAAAAATCACTGAAGAATACAAGTTTGAACCTCCACAAGCATAAGTCTAGAGAGAAAATAAGAAAAAGAGCAATTCCTAAAGTGAAAACTAAAAAAAAACGAAGTCTAAGTTTTTAAAATGCAAAAGAACAAATGTATTCATACTACCACACATAACACACACTAGAAAAATACACATTACTAAAACACACTTGCTAGCTAAGGTTTTTGGAAGAAAATTTGCTAACTGAGAGCGAACAGTGTTCTTCGGGCGAGGTGTTTGCCCGATCTCTTGTGTTGGCGAGTGTTTGGCAGGCCTAGCTGGTCGCTCGCGAAAGGCTCTCTCAATGAGTAACGATGGGGAGAGTGGGTCTCGTGCAGAATGTCTCTTGCGGCGTGCAGGTCTCGCGCGGAATGGTTGCTAGGGCGAGTGGGTCTTGCGCTGGCGGGAACTCGCGCGGGATGTTCGCTAGGCGAGCGGGTCTCTACGGGTGCACATGCGAAATACTCATGCGACGCTCTTGCGCGAGCAAGCGGGTCTCAGCGGGCACTCGGGCGAGCGGGCCTCTGGGCGCGACTTCTAATGAGTGCCCGAAGTGCTCGCGTGGGCGAGTGGGTCGCTGGGCGCGAGTCTGCTCTCGGCAATGGCACTGATCCTTGGCAAACACTTGAACATTTGTCGTGCAACAACAGAATTCCTCGGGCTCTTTTCACTATTTTCGGAATCAGTGGGAAACTTGTGCTCAAATGCTCAAAAATGGACAAAGGTGATAAGTGCTTGGTTTTGACTCTTACACTCGAGACTCAGCTCGATTCCTCCTCGTTAAATATTTGAACAAAAGAACCTATAAAACACCAAAAGACACAGGAAAGCACGCCAAACCACAAAACACAAAACGAAAGTAAAAACACACGAAACTAGCTAAAATAGATTGGTTAAACAAGAAAACTAACCTAGAAACGACTAAACACCTAAAATACATAAAATAAGCACAAAAACATAACAAACAACTCCCCCGAACTTTGGCTCTTTGCTTGTCCTCAAGCAAACAAAATAACAAGTTGTTCGAAAAGAAAAATCGAAAAGTCCATAAATAATGATCATGCTTAATGGAACTCTCTTATTACCCCGGTTATCCATATAATTAAACTAAAATCCGAAAACACATCCCCAAAAAATGGATTTATACAAAACAAAATTTCATCCCAAGTCATTCTACACATTGTTTACTCGATTGAAATCCTCTTTTTACCAAATACACGTGCAAAAAGCATCTACTCATGACCTCAAAATAGCAATCCGATTCAATGCAAGGTCTAATAAAATACAAAATATGATAAGCACAAGACCAACAATTTTTGAAGAGCAGAAACAAATCAACACAAAAACATGAATACAATTAACAAATCAACACATCACGATGTGAAAATAATGAGAATAAACTATGAACACGAGTTTTTACACATGAAATCTCAAAGAAGACAAGGTCAAAGTATTAACCAATTGAGAATTACATAGGACAAAACAAGGTCGTGATTTAAACATAATATCCATAAATATGTCTTATCCCCCTTTATATATTAATTCAAAACATGTTAATCTTAAGTGACAGACTCACACGCTTCGAATGCCGACATGACGAAAATTTGTGTATTCATTTTTGCTCAGGAATTAGGCTTGGTAAAAATATAAATAACTTTTTTTTAAACAAGGTAAGTGTATATTTATTTTTGTTATTTTTTTTCTCTTAATACACATTTTATACTTAGTTTGAGCAAGTAGCAATCTTATATTTTTTTGGGAAATTTTTATTTCTGCTACATGATTTTAAATTAATTGCAATTTTACCATACAAATAGAAATAATTATGTCTCTACCTAAAAGACATTATTTGTTTATATTAATGCCTAAAGTTACCATATCCTTTTAACCCTTATCTCCTTAATTCACGCTTATCCCCTTAATTCACGCAGTTTATTTAATAGAGCTCTCAAGTGGTATATGTTGGGTTTATGTTAGTATATATTCAGTATATGTGGCAACTAGAATTCTGTAATTCACGCAGCCCGTATATATTGCATTTATGTTTCTCATGTGGTATATATTGCGTTTATGTTTCTCAGGTGGTATATATTGAGTTTATGTTAGTATATATTCAGTATATGTGCGCAACTGAAATTCTGTAATTCACGCAGCCCGTATATATTGTGTTTATATTAGTATATATTTAGTATATGTTGCAATAAAATAAAAAAAACATATTATTACAGATTACTTATATTCCTTATACAAAAAAATATTCTAAATATACGAAACATATACTACACATATACTCTATATACACACAACATATACCCAAAAATGTAAATAATCTATAAAGGCAAAATTGCATCAAAATACACCACCTTTTAATATTTTGCAATTTAATTGTCACCTTTCAAAGTTTGCAACTAAGTACACCAGCTTTAGATATTTGGCAAATCGAAGCATGCCAAACAGAAACCGGCACCGACTTTCTTACGTGGAAATGTCGGAAACTCACGTGGAAATCGGAAACACGCGTGGAAGTCCAAAGATACTAAACAAAAAATTAAAATGCCACAAAATTAGTCTACTTGACAGACTTGCTAAAATAAAATCAAAATTAAGTAGCTCATCAGTCCTAAATTCAAAATCAGTCGAACAACTATGAACTCTAAATTGAAAAGATGTCGATCAATTCAATATGTTCTCTTGTGGCCAAAATAACTCACCTCCAAAATAATCTACATAACCATCAAGATTGATAAATCTCCCCCAATGGTTCAAATTGTTCGACAATTTTGCAATTTAGGGTTCTTAGTTGTTCGATCGATTTTGAATTTAGGGCTGAGGAGCTACTTAATTTTGATTTTATTTTAGCAAATATGCCAGGTAGAATGATTTTGTGGCATTTTAATTTTTTGTTTGTTATTTTTGGACTTCCACATGTGTTTTCGATTTCCACGTGAGTTTTCGACAATACCACGTAAGAAAGCAGGTGCCGGTTTCCGTTTGACATGCTTCGATTTGCCAAATGTCTAAAGATTGTGTACTTAGTTGCAAACTTTGAAAGGTGGTGATTAAATTGCATAAAGTTAGAAGGTGGTGCATTTTGATGCAATTTTGCCATCTATAAACTGAAAATATACTGATTGGGGTGTGTTTTTTTTTTTAAGAAAAAAAAACACTCAAAATCCCAATACTATTCAACATCCAAAAATGTTAAACCGTCCACAACAACTGAAAATAATGCCGGCAGAAATTGAGGACGTCGGTGCTGCTTTCTTTTAACCCAAAAAATTCCTACCCACTATAATTGACTTTGTTTTTCCCAAATATTTTTCCAGTGAGGTTTAATTCGCTCATTTGCCTGCCTGAGCAATTTCTTGTACCAATTTCAATCATAACTATTTTTTTTTTTTGTCAACTCCACTTTTATATGCATAATAATAATATATATGCGGAGATCTATATATTTAATTTTGTAGTAATTAGAATATATATTTTTAATCAAAGACAGTAAAGAAGAAGAAGAAGAAGTTAGGAAACTTCCAGGCAAAAAACAAAAATGAAATTTGACAATTAAATATATTTTTTTATTCACCTAATATGATTTGTCCAACAAAAAACTTGTGATTTTCTTTGGATATTGCATGATTTTTTTCCACAATAAACAAAAGAATTGACACTGTAAAAATGAAACGATGAAGAAGGTGATGGTGCGGCGGCCAAATCCAAAGAATGGAACTATGGTCTAGAGAGAAAAAATCTCATTGGGAGAACTCTTCAACTATATGAACGATTTTTTTTTTTGTTTTTTTGCAGAGTGATTGGGTATCTTTGACGGATATCAATTGCATTTAATTTGACAAAATTTCATAATAACAGTTACACAATTATTTAGGTATAATTGCAATATTTATAACTTTGTTTAGTAATTTTATAATTAAGAATATAATAAAGGTAAAAGTGTAATATTAATCATATCTAATAGTAAATGGTGCAAATTTCTCTATTTTTTTCTCATATTTCTTTCCTAACTTATGATTTACATCACTTTTTGCATTGTCTATTTCTCTTTTTTTTTTTCCATCAATTAGTCTATCAAAATTTGTATATATTTTTTTTTTATTTTAGTAATAACTTTTATCATATATTTTTTAACTCGACACCCGTGTAGTACACGGGTATTGTATTAGTAACGAAAAACCACATACGGCGTCGTTTCTGTCTGGGAACTTCATTTTGTCCCTCGGCTCAGAAACCACCGTTCACCTGAGACTTTCTCTTTCCCATTCGCAGACAGATTTTTCGCCAGAATCCAAGTATTGCAAACAATGTTCTACAGAGGGTAAGAACATTTAATAAGTTTCATTCTCTTTTCTTGGGCGTAAACCCTAATTTTTTTTGCAATTTATGTTCAAAAATCTCTCTTACAGATTGTAATTTGGAGGTCATTTAGGGTTTAATATTAGGCAATTTGTATCCTGTATCCTTACGTTTGCGTTCTGTGCTGCTGTTTGAATTTATTGGTTTCTTTTAGATCTTCGGCTGCCGTTTCCCTTTGTTGTATCTGAATTAGGCCAATCCTTGCTTCATTTTGTCAGTTATTACAATCGATTTACATTTTTTTTTTTTTTTTGAATTTCCTCGACATGTCTGATGCAGTAATGCAACTGTTGTTTGTAATACCAATAAATTCAGTGTCAAACTATGAATTTCCTCGATTTCTACTTCGTTTTCGCAAGCGCAATGATAAAATCTGGCATTTCGGCAAATTTCCTCAATTTAAGAATCTGTATCTTGTTAAAAAGTAATACTAATACCACAAGTTTGTAAAATATCAGTGTCAAACTATGAATCCTCAACTAGCTGTTCATTTATTTATTCTTTCGCCTCGAAACGATGAAGCAAATATGCAGACCCCGGCGACCCGCGCGAGATGGGCTTCAAGCGCCAGCGCCTGCTCGACCACGGCCCATCCTCCTACTACACCCCCGGCCCAAGCTACATGTACACCCACTCACCCCTAATACC